TTATTATTGCTGTTATCGCTATTATTCGTATCATTGCTGTTATTATTGCTATTGTTTATTATTGCTATTATTGTTATTGCTGTGATTGTTATTACTGCAGTGGTGTTACGAGTGTCATTAATCAGGGAGGATGTCCTGCACGGTATCATCCACCTGTCCGGCGGCGCGCGGACGAGCAGGGAGCAGCCCGGCAGGCGCTCGCAGGGCTCGGCACGGCTGTCGCGATGCCAACGGCCTCTCTGCCCGCTACAGTGTCATCCATCTATCCATCTATCTATCTACCATCTGTGTGTATCTCTCTCTCTCTCTCTCTGTCTGTCCGTGTCTGTCTACCGCGTGTTAGAGGATGCCCCGCGGGCGGTTCGTGGGCACGGAGGGGGACAGGGCCGGCCCGGCGCTGCGCCCCTCCCCCCGGGGCCGGGGGCGCGGGCAGGGCGGATTTGCGTCAGCGCCCCTGGTGCCGGGGGAGATAAACTTGCACAAACAGCGCCGGGGAAGCGGCCGCGCTCGGGCCGAACCCGCCGCCTCCTCCTCCTTTTTCTTCTGCTTTCCCCCCTGCCCCCTCCGGAAGAGATCCGGATTTCTGCTGGATCCTAAAATACTGCCGCCGCTTCTATTTCTGGGCCCGGCTCGCAGGCACATCCGCTCCTCCAGGCCGAGCTGCAGCCCGGCAAGAAAACAGGAGATGACCTGAGGTGCGGCGGGCGCTGCGCTTCCTGCAGCCGGCTCGGCGCGGCGGGTGCCCGGGCTGCGGGGCGGCAGTGGGAGTACCTGGGGCTGCCCCCGGCCGGGCCGGGCCCCGTGCTAGTCCCGGGGGCGGGGGGCTGGGGGCGCTCGTCGGCTGGGCCGGGCAGGTTGCTCCCTTGGGCTTTGCTAGCCTGGAGTAGGTGCGGGGCATCCCGCCGGAGGCTGCGCGGGGCCGGCAGCGCCCCCCTCGCTTCACACACGGTCCTGATGCACAGCTCGTCTCTCCTCTCCTTGATGCCCCTGTCCCCGCACGACTGTCCCGCACGAGGCCCAGCACGGAGGCGCGTGGGGTGGTCCGGGAAGGGCTGCCCGGGCCGTGTGCACAGCAGCCCAGTGCTGCGAGTCTCGGGTGGGCTCCGCGGGGCCCCTTCCGGCTCGCCCGGGCCTGGCACGGCTTCGCTCCGCCGCCCCTTGTGCCCCAGCCCCGGCTGCCAGCCCAGCCCGGCCCGGCCCGGCCCGCCTCTGCGCCTGGGTTTGGGCTCAACCTCTGCATCACAAACAATCGCGGTACGCCCGCCCGGCAGCGCCCCGCGTCCGAAAGCGTCTGCCTCGGGGCAGGTCCCGCGGAATAAACCTCCAACGGGGAGATTTCACATACCCCATTGCCTTGGAAATAAGAGCTTGAGCAGCCGATCCACTTCTCCCCACCTTTTTGAAACGTAGGCGTCACGATACATCGATAAATACCTATATCTTTTTAAAGTTTCTTCACAGACAGATAGACAGATAGATAGATATTTGAAGAAGAAGCTTTAAAAAGATCTAGATCTAGATAGTTATCGATGTATCCTGATGCCTACCTTTCAGAAAGGGGGGAGGGGGAGTTGATCGACTGCATCGCGATATTGTTAACGAGGAAATCATTTATATACCAGATAGATAAATAGATGTGCAAGCGTGTGCGTGTGTTATACATATATATGGTGTGTGTGTATATATATAT